CTTGCAGATGCTATTTCTGCCTTTCACGATACCGAGAAAAGACTGGCTGGCGATGTGGCTCACATGAAACAACCTGGTGGACGTCATGAACTATAAAATGGGGTCCGCTGGACTACAACCACCTAGTCGATGTCGATGGCTAAAAAACAGGCCGGGATGATCTGATGATCCAATTACTTTATCAGCGGTGGATGAAGAAAACGGAAAATAGAGAATATTGGAGGAGCATCGGCTTGCTGTAATGAGGACTAGTCAGATAACGGATCTTGACGTTCTATCTGATTTTTATTTTCGTTGGTAAATGCTTTTCTTGGGCCAGCGGATTACTGATAATCTAGTTACGCGTAGTTACCATGAAATTCTTCAAGCAGAGCGAGGAAATCGTGCCGCTTCTCTGCAATAACTGCAGTACCGGATTCCCACGACTGACGATCCTTGAGTTCACGCAGAACTTCCGAAAGTGATGGCTGCTTTTCGTCAATTTTAATCAGGTTCTTCAATGAAACCGGATCATTTTCTGCCAGTACATCGTATGTCTTTTTGCCGAGATTTTCCAACATGTCAAGGGAACTGCTGACGAATGTTCTTCCCTGAAAACAACATTTAACGGTAGTAGGATAAACGCGGAAAGGTAAAGCATCTTTACCGTTGAGCCTACTAAATGAGAAACCCCAAAAAGTATGTCAGACAATGTTCCTTGTCCCTTCGAGATGGTCGCAGAATCAGACTGGTAGCCGGAAGAGAGTTCCTCTTTATCACTGCGGAGGCCTTCGCTCTCAGCTGAACAAAAAAAAACCGTTTCATCTCGATGCCGCAGTCTAGTTTTTACCAGCTTCTGAAGTCTGTTCTTCAACGGAATCGCATTCGTCCTTCTCTCCCAACGACAGTGGTTCCTTCACATCATCTGCTTTTTTTTCAAGCTCCTGACGCTCGGTGTAGCTTAGTCGCACGAGATCCTCCGGTGGAGGAGCACCGATTGAGTGTTCCATATTCGACAGAACCGACGAGATACCCGCTCCTTAAAAGAATGCTACACATCATGCACACCTGTGCATCAAACCGCACATCAAACTTACCAACAGAACTGGTTAAAGTATTGATCGAGCCGCTAGCCGCGTTCAGCAACGAATTCCAGTTTCCCCATAAGGATGAGGATTCGCGACCCTCAGTGGCGGCACGATTCAGCCTTTCCAGATGTTCGTAGGTTTCGCTGACAGCAAACGGGTGGACGGCATTATCATCGACGGAAAGACATTGGATATCGTCGGCGATTTTGTCGACAGGAGTCTTATCGTCGCCATATTTGAAATGTTTTGAGCCACCAGCCACAACTTCCTGCACTTCAACTTCATCTTCGCACTTTTTATGGTGATCTTCAGTATGCTTTTTATATTGCAACGCTTTTGGAACTTTTTTCAACAAGCTGCCATCGCCAGCACCAGAAGTCGCTGCAGAGAATGTGCCTTCCTCGCCGTCTTCTTCATCACAGCTGTGAAAAGAATGGAAAGAATCGCTGTCGTCACTATCTTCAGACATTTATTTTCTATAAAAAAACATAGCAAACCTCTAACCACTAATCTACGGAAAGTACTTAACGCAACAACGTCTCGCTTGAAACAAAAAAAAAACACCAACGGTCATATAAAGTTTATTACAATACGTTGAAGAGCCTTCAGGGTAACCAGCAATAGTGAACGCCAAAAACAGTTAAAACGAACATAAAACACAACATTAATGAAACAGAACTTCATCACAGTAGAGCTAGATAAAAAACAAATAGCTCAGCTAAACACTACTAAACTTGGATCTTCATTCTGAACGTGCTTAATATGTGTAAGGACGTCTTTCTTCGTAATTATTCCAAGAAGTTCCCTGAAAGATTATGCAAATCAAGTTAACCGCGCATAAAACGCTAAAACAATGACAAAATTGGGGATTAAACACAACTAATATAAAAAAAAATGAAAGTCCGTAACCGCTTCCAACATCAGTCTTCCTTAAACTCACATGATGCTGTCATGAAGTTAATGGCAATGACGCTGATTTCCTTTTCCATTTTATCAGCAAGAAGGAACTTATTATTTACTGGCATTTATCAAAATGGCACTAATTTATCCAATTTAGGAAGGAAGGTGATTGACCTCGATAGGGGTTGGAACACGGGGCGTTCTCAGTTCTGAGTCTGACGCTCTGCCGACCAAATAACCTCATATTGAAGCAACGCGTGGTCATTTCCTTGTTTAAGGGAATTCCTAATAAAGACACGAATTGCATGCCGTGAGAATCGAAAATGGCGCCTCAGGAGTTCGAGCTGGAAGTCGGTCTCCAAGCACTGCCATCACACCATTAACTGGATAAGAAGTGGAAAAAAGCACTGGATATGCATAGAAGCAATAGATCAATTTTAGCATGACATTAAGGAACGCTCATCGACGCAATTATTCACAGAGATATCTCTACCCCAGTCAGTCAGTTCCAATTGTCGCTTATCCTTTCAGATCGTTGAGACAGACGCGCTAGACAATGCCTCCGACGTTAATGATCCTGTGCTTCGGCAGAACATACCTCAAGTTTGGAGCAGAGTTCATCGATCCAGTGGTCCCAAGTCATTCTTAATATTCCCCCTGACCCTTAGCCGATCGGTCATGCAAGCATTAGCTGTTTCGCCTTTCTTTCTGAAAGCATTTTTAGAACGTTTCCAAATCATCGCAGTTGTGACTTCACAATCTGGAGAAACAGCGGCTATACACCAAGCTTTTTCCGGATATCTAAGGTCCCGACTTTTCTCAGATGTGTGAGCAAAGCAATATGTCTTAACGAGCCCATTTCAGTCACTGAAACGAAAACAGCTAATTATTTGTAGACTGAAAGCAAATGCCTTTCCTTCATAAGCCCAGCCTTGTGTGAAAACGAGGCAGGCTCCGGCAAATGCAAACACAGTAAGAATGTTCTGTCTACATATTTAATCACGTGAGCTTGAACTAAATACTGAAAAGTTGCCTCCAAAAGATGAAAGTGACATTTAAGGGGGTACAACCATAAAGGATATTAACATAGAATGAAAAACTCTTAGTCATCACCCGCCAGTCACAAGGTCATGATGATGATAATGACAAGAGTTATGATAAGCAGTAAACTGATAAACATCATGATCACCATCATGATGACAATCTGTTCGCTGTAATCATTATCGGCAGCACTAAAGGACAAAAGAAAAACAAGAACAACAGATCACTGTCACTTGAAACCTATCTGCACGCGGTTTTATAATAACCTCTATTTCTGAAAGCCACAGCAAACCGGAAGCTACCGCACGTTGCCCCAGAAACTGTTTCCGAATATCACCTGAGACGAAGCAGAGTGGACAATCAAGAATATCAAGTGGCAGATGTTCTGGCAAAGGCGGCATAAAATCTAAATACCTCAAGTCAGGAGGAATGGCCCTGTCGAAATAAAAGCCCTTGCCGAACGATTTGCAGAGAACATCAGGATAAAATAGGCGTCAGACGCATGGAAGAACTCTTCGACGATTCTTCTATTCAAGAAAGCTGATGGCTGAAAACACTTAAAACTATCGACCCATCAAAGACCTAGAACTGCTGAATAGTAAAGAACAAAGTTCTAAACTACAGACAACATCTACGTCGAGAAGTAGGTAGTAACGAAGTGCAAAAAGTATCAAGTCCCACTCTGCATTCATTGACTTCAAAAGTACGTTTGATTCCATAGACCTGTGCGCCATACTGAAAGTCATGCACAATCGCGGCATCAACTCTGTCTAAGTCGACCTGATCGAGGAACCGAACACAGAACACAACTGATACCAAGCTGTTCAAGGAACCGCATCGAACCAATATCAAATGAAGAGTATGCCAAAGAGACATCACCCTTCTTAAGTTTCACGTGGGGCGCTGGAATCCGTCTAAAAGCGCCTTATCTGAGACGGTGGCATTAACATCGACGGAGAACAGGTAACCTACCTGCTCTTTGCAGATGGCGTCACCATCTTTGTCAAAGACTCAACAGAACTCCAAAAAACATCTTATAAAGATTATGGAATTAAACAAGGAGCCACGCTGGAGATGAACATCTCGAGGACGAAACGGATGCGCAAGGGCCATTGCAACGTATGTTCCATCCTCATTGAAAGGAGTGGAAAAAGTCACTAAGTCGGCCACCTAATAGACTCCAATAATAACACTAACAGCGAGATCAGCAGAAAAAAGTAAGAGGTACAGACAAGTTTCAATCATATCGAAACATCGCTGCTGGGTAACGAACTGCCCATGTTGACGAAAAAAGACGGTTCGATCCCGCTATCCGACTCGCCATGACTTATTGCGCAGAGTGCCGGTCGACCACCAAGGCTGAGAAAAAGAAAGTAGTAGGTACATAAAAGACGAAGGAAAGAAGAATATGCAAAGTCTTCCCTGGAAACCAACCTCCAAATGCGAAAATTCGGTATCGAACAATTTTGGACGTACTCACAGCCGTTTACAACTCGAAGAGACCATGGCCAGTCTATGTTGTTTGTGCGAAGGACAACAGGCGGACATCCGCGAGTTGCCAACTGGATCCTCCTCGGCCACAGGCGTCTATTCAGTCCTCCAACAACACACTGGGACGACCAAATGATGAAGCTGTTACATCAACGGTGGAAACAAAGGACACAACACTGAGAAGAGTGCCGGAAAGTCGACATACATCTGTAAGTGCGGGCGCTGAAGAAACCAAGTGTTCATAATGAAAGCGAATAGACAATGAAACGTTTAAAATTCAGAAAAAGTTCAAACCCGACACAGCGCTCAAATAGAAGACTACTATAATCTCACAACAGTCAACCGTCTCTGCGAGAAATTACGAATAGAAATCTGGACTTCGCATGAAATTATTTTTCAGGTCCAATCTGATACTGTACAGCCAAATTGCTCATGCAAAATTCGTCGAAACGAAGGAAGTAAAACAAGGCTCGATCTACTCAGTCCCTTGCGAATGACAGGTCAGGTATACTGCAGAAACCGGCAACAGAATCGAAGAAAGGATAAAAGATCAGTACTCGCGTTTAACAAGACGGAATTGTGGAAATTTAAGGGAACGTCAACCAACATCGCAATCTATCTGGCCGACAACAAAATGTTGAAATAAAAAAATAATACGAAAATAATTCCGCAGTAGTAGAGAACCCAGTAGCTGCGAAAAAAGGAAAGGGATATGACGAGAAAGGAACTGCCGAGAACCGGAACATCTAACAGTTATTTAATATTCAAAAGCAAGTACAAGGACGCCACTCTTAAGACAGATCCGAGCAAAATCACGTCTAAAAATGTCTAAGCAAGAGTACAATTTAGTATTATTCTGTAGCATTTAAGTTTCAAGGCAAAAATTAAGCGGGAATTGCCGACAAGCCATAAACTGTTTTCGTTAAGCAGTTTGTAAAATGTGGCACATGAAAACTGTTTCAGCGTGATCTGAGATATAGGGCAACTTCTATACCGGATCTGTGCGGTAAGGAGAGTATCTTCTGCTTCATTGCTGCATTAGAAAAACATACAAGTCCAAGGTTTTAATGCAAGAAGGCAAAAGCTTACCCATTATGTGTAACTAACGTTTGACGCAGACCCAATTTTCTGAACATGTCGATGACCGTTTCCATTGGCGTGCGATCAGTGATTGTGATCGGTGCCTACAGAACACCGTCATTCGAAATAGGACACAGCACAAGTAATAACAAATACAAGATCGAGCAGCTTGCGCAGTTTCAAAGGAGACGGCCCACCGGTGACTTCAGGAGCAGAGGGTGCAGCGACGCTGAAGTACACCATAGAATCGGTGACGATTCCATCCTGTGTTCTTCGCGCATTGCCTGTAAATCGAGTTCAGGCTTTAAACAAAATAAAGCTAAAAAGTATCTTACTAATTGCCAATGACAGATCCCTTCGTGTTACGAAGCCTATCAGATTCGGACAATCCTCTGATACGACAACCGGAAATCCATTATGACTAGTCGAATTGAGTAACTCTTCAATGTCACCCAAGGTCATTCCCTCTTGAGTTATGACGCGCAGAACACTGTCTCCTGGCCTGCAATAAAAATCACTCGAGAGTTATATTGCCACATTAACATAATCATCGCTGAAATCACCTAAAATCTATCATCTCTACTCAAATAATAAAGTTACAATGGGAATCTTCAACAAGACTCAGCAATCGTCGCATAATTTTAAAAGGCAGCTCAAAACCTTGACAGTATTTGTAATGGACCTTGAGTACGCCGACGACATTACGCCGCTCAGCGACTCTACAAGTGGCCTACAAACACTCACTGAAAGTTCTGCAATCCCACTGTGGGAGTGAGGCTATAAGTGAACGACGAAAAAACGATAATTATCAGCGATCCCATACCGGCAGTCTATGGGTACCATGAAATGGTATCCGAGTGGAAGAAGTACATCATTTCAAATATCTTTGAAAACACAGTTTGGCTAATAATGGCGACACCGGATAATTCTGATCGACGAATCTAGGCAAGCCGTACAACATGTGGAAAGATCCACCTATTATGACGGATAGAAAGATCACCATATTTAAAGCAACCATATTTCCGGTGATCATGTACAGTCTCGAAACATACGCGGTCGTTAAACATCACGAAGTTCGTCTTGACAGCTTCTAACAGTGCCGTCTACGAAGTATCGTCTAAATGCGATGGTGCCACCGAATCACGAATGACCAGAGATCTGATAAAACCTATCAGATTAACTCAGATACAGGCGCCCTGCTTGGCTTGATAAAACGGCCATAAAAGAGAATGGGGATCTTTTCAAAACTTTTCTTTCGTGGGAACCGTCAATTGATCATAGGCGTGCTGAAAGAAAATACAAAGCATGGAAATACATTGTTGAGACAGATCTGCTGAGGACGAAAAATATGACCTTTGCCACAGCACTGAACTCGCCAAATGTCAATCTGAGATACCATTTCTAAAGGTAAGTCAATCAGTCAGTCTCTCAGTCAGTTTCGATGACCATTCATCCCTTCGGATCAAGGAGACAGACACGTCAGATAATGTCGGCAATGTTCCCAGTCTTGTACCAGCGTTGGAGCTTTGGCAGAAGACAACCCAAGATTGGAGCATAGTCCTTGCATATACTTTCCCAGGTTTTTCAAGGTCATCTCCGGGGGCTTCATCCGTTGGGTTAAGCAAATAGTATCCGTTTTGCCTTCCTTTTTGAAAGCATTCACAAGCTGCGACTTCTCAGTCTGGAGAAGCAGAGGCTCGACATCAAGGCTCTCTATCGGATATCTGTAGTTCAGACAGTACCGTGAGCCCGGTGATTCGTCTAAGAAAGGCCATCCATTTCTAAAGGTCAGACATTATAAATCTGGTTACTGTGCTGTTCATGAGCTGCTAGTCTTTGATGACAATAATAAAACAAACGCATGAAGAAGTAAAAGACAACTTGAGTTGTTTTGTTGCCACTGAATCAGTCAGTCGGCCTATCACCTTTCGTATAAGGCAAAACAGAATGCTTTCTGCGCAAAATGAACGGTAACCGTGCAGTGGCATCGCTCAACCACCTACCGAGGACGCATAACGTCGGCTGCTACCGTGTTATGCGTAAATTCCTCTTTGCTGTCCAGGAATGGGTAGCCGTTTAAAGCGATATGTGCGTCGTAGATCCCCTTTCGGTCGATCGCATCGCCGACCCATTTGGCGAACATTACCGCGGCCATAGTTGGTACAATGAACTCCAGACTGCCAGTCAATTCGAACATGATAACGACGAGCGAAACTGAAAAATTTTCAATTACTTTTAAATGCAGGTAGTTTAAGGTAATAACAGTGTATTTGAAAATACAGGAACAAAAATAAGTAAACATAATTCGGCGCAGAACGGATGATGACCATTGTCAGCATGAACCTTCAACGAAACCAACATTAAATAATTTTCTTACATTAACGATGAAAACTTCTTATGCGATACTGAAGAAAAGATCAGAAGCTGTTGTTGAATATTAGGATATTCATAACTGGACAACATTCACTTGAGCCATTAGAACACCGTTCAGAGAAAGGTGCGGCAAAGTAATGCATCACGCCTTCAATTCTCTCTGAGAGAGAGATAACAGTTACTACAAGTACAACATCTCCACATACTAAAACATGAACCACTTCAAACAAAACACATGATTCAAATCTAAGTGCTCCAAGCTATTATGAGTCACAGTAATGAATAAGAATGCCCATAATTCGGTTCTGATTTACGTTTTACAATCCACATGAATAGGTCAAATTATGAAAAGAATTTTATGCCAGTGCCCTTGTTATTAAACAGGGTGTTCTTAGTAGACAAATTAACGTATACAGCACATAGCCGTGGCCCAGAAAGTGCTTATCCATACACGCTGGTATTATAGCGGAGTACGCTGTGCCTAAATTCTACTGTATAATGTAATAACGCCAATAAATCCCTGATCAAAAATTGAGAAGCATAAACTCTAGGACAGAGATGAGACTAGCGCAGATAAATGTGCTCATTACCTGTCATTCGTGTGACACCACCCAAAACCGCAGCAGCACCGACCATGGCGTAGAGTCCCGGCTGAATGCAGATCTTACCTGTATCGCAATGCATACTCCACCACCACGCATCTTTGTTAGAGCTGCGATAAAAAACGTCGTTTTATACACATTAAAACGAACGGGAACTAAAGCAAGCTTTCTACTTACTATGCCATGTGATCCATGCCGATGCCAATCAAACGACCCCCAATCGCGCCGATGGCCAAACTAGGAATGAATAGACCGGCCGGCACCTTGATGCCGAATGTGAAGATGGTAATGACAAGCTTGAAGATCAACGCCAAAATCAACTTCCAAACGGCATTATGAACACCAGGACCCATTGCGCCGGCGGTTGCAGATCCTCCAGCCGTCGTTGTTTCGAAATTGAAGTTGTAATCGCTACAAATACACTCTGGTAAAAACACAATCAGTGCCCAAAACAAAGCCCATACCATAGTTCTGAAATGTCTTCCGGACCGCATCGATCAAACAACTGACGAAGCAGCGCGCTTGAACTCTTCCTAAACGTCAAACGCTAGCAAGCAGAATATGGTCATGTTTCAAATTGGTTTCAAGATTTTAAAAGTCTTCACAAAGTCAGGGTAGCAAATATAGGTGACCAAAAGAGGAGAATAAATTTAAGGGGCAAAATGAGGTCCTGAATTAAAAATAGAAGCGGTTCAAAACTGAGATCAGAAACAGGAATTAATTGAGAGGATGCCCCACTTCATTTGCTCATAAACATTACTGCTAATGTGCTTCAAAATTCATTTGAGGTAAATTAGTAATTAGAAAACCAGATATGAATATGATAAATTGATGGCCTGTATTTTCTATAACAGATCAGTTAGCCATTTGGATTTGCCATGAGAAAATCGCAATGTCCTATGTTCCTCAGTAGTCACAAATTATAACAAGGGTACAATCAACAACTATCATTTAGGAAATTACATAAGAAAAGTTCTTCAAAGATCAAAGGAAATGATGCTGAACCGCAACAACTAGGAGAAAAAATTCGAATAAAGCTGTAAACCTCATTGTCTCTTCTCTGATCAACAAATATGAGAGTATGAAGACTTGTGCACATCTTACTGCAGTTAACCGACATTGAAGATATTGTTACAGCAGAAAGATGCTGTAGGCATCGTTATCACCTCTTAAGCTGATTAATAAAGCAATCACCTTACCTAGTATATGAACTGGGAAAACTCAGAATCGCAGTGACAGCCGTCACAACCAACACCTAAAAGAGAAGTCGATCAAGCCTAACGGAACAATCTAATCAAAAACTTACCTCAGAAATGGGATAGCGACCCAGCTTTGATGTCTTGCGATAGCGACACCACCAGATGTTCGCTTTAATGAACAGTGTACCGATAAGACCCTGCAACGAGTCACAAATTTTTGGAGTGAAAATGTATATAGAACCGAGTAAAACGACTTACTCCAAAGACACCAAGCATTGAAAAAGGAATTAACTCAATATACGACCATTTCATTGGGTAATCGACCGCGAACAGTGACGTCTGGTCTGAACCGAACGGATTAATGAACTTTAAAACCAGACCGGCAACCAGCGCACAGAAAAACGAACGCCACAGCGTCTTCAGCGGAAAATAATAGCTGGCCTAAAACAAAGGAGCCTGTACAAGTTTCTTTCGAGTTCCAAACAATTAAATTCTAAATTAATCAAACTTATGTTACCGAGCAGTATTTAAATTTACACTATTTTAAATATTTTAAGTTACAATCTGTGCCGATGGCAGCTCAGCTGGCATAGGGGTTGAAACCACTGCTTAAAAGCCAAGAGCAACAGGATGGTCGCAAGTACCGTTAATCGCATCAGAGATAGCTCATTTGGTACAACAGCAACCGGCATAAGCTTTAGACCAGGCAGGAAGTGGATACTGATTCCATAAGGTAAAGAGGATCATGCTACTTCATTAGCAGAAGGAAATATGTTACGGTTATCATTTAGGTGTAAATACTGATTTCAACAAATACAACATATCTGGTTGGTGGCATCGACAGAGTGATCAGCAAAAAACTGGGAATTCATGGGGGAAAAAAGCTAAAACGTGGCCATCCATCGTAACAATTTACAAAACAATGATAGACTGAGGTTAAAATTTTTCTTTATTCGGCCGTCAGAATGGCTACATCAGAGAATCAAACTATTCCTAGAGAATATCATTCTATCATACCATAAAGAATTCTCGACCCAGAAACTATGGCACATCTCATCGACAACATATCATCTGTCACTCTTCCTCACAAGCTACAAAAGTTCAGCACTATAATTGCTTTTCTCAGCTTAGCGTCAATCTCCCAAACGTTTATCTAATCGCACAGGTAGTTCAAT